GGTTTTGTGTGACGAATCATTAGCTTCCACAGTTTGACTTGAAAAATGTCTTAATTTGACAGCAAAGCATGAACTTTGTGAAGAAACAAAAACAAGTTGTGCCATCGGCAGATTCAGCTAAACTTGGCACCAAGTGTGTCATTAACAATTTGAAGTGGTAGTAACAGTGCTCCAAATTCAGAATGGAGGGTGTACAAAGTTGAAGGTCCAGTGTGTAAGATTAAGAGGGATTAAGTCGCATCCAGCAGTGAGTAATGCAGACTCCAAACAGCTAAAACTCCTCCCAGTTAGAAGTCCTTCAGTGTTTATTTTTCAAAAGTCTTTTTACTGGGAGCTGGATTATTAGCAAAGGTCTTTTCCTCTCCAAAACAAACTGACCAGGTGATTTAAACAGGTAAAAAACAACAACAACACTAAATTTAAGTTTCACATTTTAAAAGTGTCTTCCCGATGCTCTTGTTACAGAAGGGCCCTATCAAAAGCCAGGGTTTAGTTTGTCTGTTATGAGCTACTGTAAAGACATTGCAATCTCTACATACGAGGACCCACTCCCTATGTATGTAGATATTAAGTAATAAAAATACAATGATTCTTAATTTCAGGTGATTATACAATGAAGAAAACATACTAATTGTGATTTTTCACATATCTGCCAATATATCCCCCTAACATTACACACAGGAGTTTTGTAAATCTAAGTTTTAGGTAACAGGCTAGTCTATGTTACAATGTTTGGTCTTCAACTTTCAACTGCAAACTTAAGGGGCAAAAAGCAAGAGCACTTTGCCCCAAACATATCTGCATAGTAGCTCCGAATGTAGTATTTTTACACATGGCATAACGGAAATCGGATGACTAGACTGTTCAAATTCAAACCTAAGTAGACAGAGAGAAAGGATGCATTACATTGTCACTCAACGGCGTAATACTTAGCACTTCTTCTGTACCTGGCCAGAGCTACACGCATCCTCCATCCTCCACTGAAGTCCTTCAGTTTCTTCTGCTGCATAGCAGCGGTGAAACCCAAACCATGGAGGATCCGAGAGGCTCGCACCTCTGCCTTGTCTGCATCCAGCTCCTCCAGACGCTCATACAGCTCCATCAGCTTCTCACATTCAGCTATGCAAGGATAACAAAATGGCATTTGCTATTAATTTCAACCAATATAGCTACAGAACAACTATATGTGAAACAGTTGTCCTTATCTTTGCTTCAAATCACGTCAGCTACACTTAACTAGGACATTCTGTTAAATCTATTCAAGCATTCGGTTTGTTGTGGCAATTAATTTCCCCTCTGCACTTAGTGCTTAGTCCATCACATGCAACTCACAGTCCTCATGGGCAAGCCTCTCTGCCTCCTTCTCCAGCATAATCCTCTGTTCATCCACCTCCATGACACACTGCAGAGCGGTCTTTTCGCTGGGGGCCATCTCCCGGGTCAAGTGGTAGATATCTATGTGCTCTGGAATTGGAATCTCCCGATGCCCGATGGCTGACAACAACATGGACTTTCCTGGCAGATGCAAGTAGATAAGACAATTTTGCTTGACATAGTGTATGACATAAAAATCCAGTCTGTACAACATTCATCCCATTTCAATTTAGGGGAACTGCTGTAAATGAGAACATGTGTTAATGTGGTGACTGAATATAGTATGTATGTGCTGTTCTTTGTGTTGAAACAATCTAACTTTTAAGATGTTCTTATAATGGCATCAGGTACTGGGATATGTACAGGCTACTGACTAACAATATCACGTGCCACAAGAGACTTTTTACCTGTGCCATTAAGGCCAATAAGACCATAGCGTCTGCCTGAGTTGAGCTCCAGGCTGGTGTCTGCTAGCAGCTCTTGACCGTGGAAGGTGAGCGACAGGCTGCTAATGTGGACATCAGTGCTGTTGGGGTGTGAGGCCAGAACGCCGGTCACTGCGCGTGCCTCAGTCTTTGCTAGTTCAAATTCATCCAGCTCCTTTGTCAAACTGGCGACCCCTATAAAAACAAAATACTGTTCACCATTTCGCTTACATTTCAAGTTACACACGAACCTACTGGACAGAAAAAGCAAGTTTAAGTGTAGTATATAACCAAGCAGAAATGTATATATCAATCCAAAGCCAAAACTGATCACCAGAATGATACAAGCCCTAGTAACTCACAATTTAGCTATAATATTAAGTTTAAGATCAGTCCTCTTACCATTGCTCTCTGCTCCATTAAGCTGGGTCTCTTGTTCACCCTCCCCATTTAGCTCATCAGTTTTCTTGGTACGCTGGCGGGCTTTGGCAGCCTCCTTCTTCTTTGCTGCCTTCTTCTTGGCTAAGTCGGATGGCATGGTTGTGAAAATCTATTCAATAATAGAAAATAAAAAGGAAAAAAAGAGACAGATTTCAACATTCTTATTATCCAGCAATACCATGTTATGTCATGTAAAACGGTGCCATTCCCAAACTCTCAATTTTTGGGGATTTCAAAACTTTGGGACAACTCTAATTGTGACAGTCAGATATTATAAAAGTGTGAAAATGGGTAAAAGTGGCCAATCGCTTACAGAAAGTGGCTTTTAATAGTGGTTGGTAGGGAAACACTATTCGACGGTGGCAACAGACTTCGACACAACACACCGGTAACTGAACTCAGAGTGTAGCGCCAGCTTACAGCCGAGTTTAAGAAAGGACTGACGCTACTGAAGGCCTTACATGGTTAACGGTACAGCCTAGGGAGCGGTGATGGTGGTGACAATGCCAACGACGACCGCATTTCGCTTCCTTCCAGTCCCACCTGCTCGCACGTTGGGCTCCTCACAATATAAAACCCGATAGCCCCAAGTGTTGGAAGCTAACGGTAAGTTAGCTGATGCCGCTCACATCAACGGTAGAGCGGTCACTTCACGATGAATTAACCGACGACAGTACCTAAACATATGTTTTAGCTGATTACGACAGAATGTCATACATAGAGAAAACATCATATCGATTTTGATAAACTAGCCGCTGACTGCGTTAGCTCTCTAGCTAAGCTAACAACGGCAGCTAACTACAGCTGATAGGCCTGAACCGCTAAAGCTAACGTGACGCAAGGCCCAGTTAGCTACGACAAGCTCTGAAACCGGCTACTTCGGCGATTAACGTTTGTTTTTCAAACCCATTATATATTCTGAAAGAAACACGTGTATGTTACCCATTCGAGTCGTAGTTGTCAGACACTGTAAATATCCCTCTTACCTGGATAATGCGTTACTGCTCTCCGGAGCACACGGATGTCTCGTGTCCACTTTTCGCCGGGTGGATGTAGCCGCACGCCAAACCGCCAGACGGACCATATATAGTCATAGAGGGCGGTGAGAATGGGTGGACCCTCCCCTTCTCGTGGGACTGCAGTAAAATGTCCCTTTACTCCTCAATTAGTCACAGTTTTGATTGAGCAATCGGTGAAATTGTGTAATTTATGACTAGGACTAACTAAACAGAGGCTAAGTTATAGCCCATAAACCTGACAATTAAAGGCTGGTGTGATGGATACATGGTCATCTTATTAAGTTGTTGTCAATGGCTGTACTTTGGGGCTGTTGGTTACTTATGATGGGGGGAGGGGGGTAAAATGGAAGATACATGTCAAATAATTTTTTTAAGCACTGAGGAGGGACTTAGGTTATTTGGCATAGGGGAGGGACATAGAATTTTTAGTGGTTGTATTTTTTTATATTTATTTTAAAATCTGAACCCCAAAACCTGCCAGCGGGTTTGGAAGGCATGTTTTTTTTTAAAAATCGCCCAAATCACGCCTATTGTCATAGCCAAAAACTACAGATCGAATCACAATATTTTGTATATAACCCGCAGCCCTTTACTGCATGTCATCCGTCTTCTTTCTGCTCCCTTTCCTGTCACTCTCAAGCTGTCCTATAATAAATGCAAAAAGCCAAAAAAACAAAACAAACAAAAAAAAACAACTTCCAGGTAGAAAAACCCGTGTATATAAAAATTAAACGAAACTCAGCAAATGCTACCTACTAAATGCTACTTATCAGTGTATTACATATAGTAGATGGTGGTCAGCTTGCTCCCACTTTGGAGAAGCAGACATAAGTACTGCCACATAACCTAAGCACTGCTTTGGACAAGGGCAGCATCAAAATATATTTTAGCCACCTAAATGACAATATCACTTCAAGTGTACACTATATTTAGAACATTTTCACTGCTTTACCTTGACGTCAGACATCTTTTTCAGATGGTGAATTGAAGGCGTCATATCAAAGCCACCGAACTCCATTGGCCTACGGCGGCACCAATCATTTAACATGTAAGGTAAAGCAGAGCAAATATAGCATACACTTATCCTTTTTTAAATGGCTGAAATAAGTTTGCAGCCCCGTCCACAGCATTACTTAGCGTCTAAGTTGGTAATGTTAGATTTGGTTTATCAAAGATGATAGCAAAGCAACAACGTACATAAAATGAGCACAGCAGAAACGTCAGATAGGTTGGACCAATGTGCTTGAATATATATCTTTAAACATTAAAGTTACAGTTAAAAAAATGACTAGAAATCAACAAGTTTTCCAAATTTGTATATCTCTGAAATTGGAATCAATTGCCAGTTTTCTAATCTGTAGTTAATGTCAAAACTTAAAGTAGATGGGGTGGGATTTATTACCCATGCTGCAACCAGCCATGAGGGACAATCAAGATATTTTTGCTTCACTTTTTGCTACAAAAAATACTGTTAGGGCCTTTTTATGGTGGAGGGAGGGTCATGCATTTTCCCCTAATCACTCAGGGAGGCTCATGGAAAAATACTTGTAGATGTGGGAAGGGTCAAGATTTAAAACACAAGTCTCATCCCAGCCACCCACCTCCTCTGATAAGTAGAGAACAGTCCCTAATAAAGTCTCTAAATGAAACACTTTGAGGCTGTCACAACAAACATCCAGTGTCTTCACACAGATCTACCCATAAACCAGTACCTCCATATAACTATATTTTCATGCTGTGGTTAGGGGTAATTTGTTGAAAGCAGTCGTTATCGCAAACCCAGGTCCCTTGACTCCGTGATAGGTGATGCTGCAGCAGCACAGGCTCAGTCAGTGATGATGAGGGCAAAACACGACGTGAGAGAGACGCTATTCCCCTCTGTGTGTGTGGCACTCAAATTTTGAGGAAGTCAAGAAACTGAAGAAAATGGACGACGTGTGTGTGGCGGTGCTTGACGGATTTTTACCTGCACCGACGGTGAAAAATGGGATCTATGCCTTCATGTCGGGGTTCGTGGAGACAGACGGATCGAGGATCTGCACTAAAACGACGATGCTAGCCTGCTAGCTTGCTCTTTGATGTCTGTTCCTCTGGCACATAACGTTACTGCCGGGGTTATAACTAATTTCAACCGCTGCGTTAAAAACTTTTAGTGCTTTTATTTCGATTTTTTATTACTCAATAATTAGAGTAACTTAACGTAAACTCAAACTGGCAACTTTACCTGGTGATATTTAGCGTCTTGCTACATTAGTTAGCTGACTTTAGTGTAGCTATTAGCGTTAAAGCTAGCTTAAATATGTTACGCTAATTAACATAACGTTAGCTTGAAAGTCAGTGAGTAACGTAATTTACGTGACAGTGACTACAACCAGCTTGGTTCGTTAAACAGCCGTTACGGAGCGATAAACGTTAGTGAGGTTAAGCTATTTGCAATTATTTCCTCTTACATAAGAACAAACTTATACCGTTAACGTTACCTACATGTTTTTTATTAACTTCGATAATGGGGTTGAACATAAACGTTACATTTGCAAAACCTGTAATGTATTGCTCTTGAAGGTAACGTTAAAATACAGTCTTTGCTTGTTAGGTTGATTAGAAACTTTAACGACTACCTCACCGGATGGGACCAGAAAAAGAGACATTATGTGACATTTGAGGCAATTTTCTGCGTGTGTCAACATATCAGCTTCCCCTTATGTAGGTTTTCCCTTAGCTAAAGTGTGTTAAGCTACAGCAGGAGCGCTGACACATCTGTAAGTAATAAAATTTTCCAGAGCAGCCTCATCAAGTGTGGCTCATAACTGCTAGATATGCGTCTTTCCTCCTTTTTGGCCGTGTTCAGGCCTGCTTTACCCCTTATCCTCGGGCTGTCTCTGGGATGTAGTCTGAGCCTTTTGATGGTGTCCTGGACACAAGGGGATACTGATGATTCCTGTGGAGATGAACTGGGGAATGGGAGGCTTTTAATAGGCAGAGGAGATGCCCCTAGAGACTCAAGGGATGGAGCTGGAGAAGAGGACTTCCAGCCACGTATTGTGCCCTATCATAAGGATCCAAACAAGCCACACAAGAAAGTCCTCAGGTGAGTGGGGAAGTCATGTCTTTGTGAGGTCATACATAATGCAGCACCCTTTTCCCAACAAATTTGCACACATCACAGCCCTTTATATCTCATGGGTTTGTTTTAAGAAACTGGGAACAATTGGCATCCACAGGAATTCTCAACTTAATAGTCCCACATTTAAATCTTCCCACAATTATCTAAATGTTAGTGGCATGTTCAATATAGGTGGCTAATCGACATCTAAATCTGTTCACGGATATACACTGCCTGGCCAAAAAAAAAGTCACCACCAAAAAAAAAGGTCATACACTCTAATATTTCGTTGGACCGCCTTTAGCTTTGATTACAGCACACATTCGCTGTGGCATTGTTTCGATAAGCTTCTGCAATGTCACAAGATTTATTTCCATCCAGTGTTGCGTTAATTTTTCACCAAAATCTTGCATTGATGATGGTAGAGTCTGACCGCTGCGCAAAGCCTTCTCCAGCACATCCCAAAGATTCTCAATGGGGTTAAGGTCTGGACTCTGTGGTGGCCAATCCATGTGTGAAAATGATGTCTCATGCTCCCTGAACCAGTCTTTCACAATTTGAGCCCGATGAATCCTGGCATTGTCATCTTGGAATATGCCCGTGCCATCAGGGAAGAAAAAATCCATTGATGGAATAACCTGGTCATTCAGTATATTCAGGTAGTCAGCTGACCTCATTCTTTGAGCACATACTGTTGCTGAACCTAGACCTGACCAACTGCAGCAACCCCAGATCATAACACTGCCCCCACAGGCTTGTACAGTAGGCACTAGGCATGATGGGTGCATCACTTCATCTGCCTCTCTTCTTACCCTGATGCGCCCATCACTCTGGAACAGGGTAAATCTGGACTCATCAGACCACATGACCTTCTTCCATTGCTCCAGAGTCCGATCTTTATGCTCCCTAGCAAATTGAAGCCTTTTTTTCCGGTTAGCCTCACTGATTAGTGGTTTTCTTAAGGCTACACAGCTGTTCAGTCCCAATCCCTTGAGTTCCCTTCGCATTGTGCGTGTGGAAATGCTCTTACTTTCACTATTAAACATAGCCCTGAGTTCTACTGTTGTTTTTCTTCGATTTGATCTCACCAAACGTTTAAGTGATCGCCGATCACGATCATTGAGGATTTTTTTCCGGCCACATTTCTTCCTCGAAGACGATGGGTCCCCACTATCCTTCCAGTTTTTAATAATGCGTTGGACAGTTCTTAACCCAATTTTAGTAGTTTCTGCAATCTCCTTAGATGTTTTCTCTGCTTGATGCATGCCAATGATTTGACCCTTCTCAAACAGACTAACATCTTTTCCACGACCACGGGATGTGTCTTTCGACATGGTTGTTTAGGAAATGAGAAGCAACTCATTGCACCAGTTGGGGTTAAATAACTTGTTGCCAGCTGAAAGATAATCGTCCATGCAGTAATTATCCAATAGGAGGCTTGTACCTATTTGCTTAGTTAAATCCAGGTGGTGACTTTTTTTTTGGCCAGGCAGTGTACATTGGCTTCAATGTGGATGCTAGACATTTTGATCCAGAGATGCGTTATGATTTCATCCTCTTATACATGTCTTATTTCAAATCCAACAGTGTATCACTGGCTGGAAGTCTTACCCATTCCCATCACTTTTTATGCTTGTTTTACAAGAGTTTTATAACTTTGCCTAAACAAGTTTTAGTCTGTTAAGAATATATATTTCTTGTGATGGAAACACGTCGACTGTTATGAAAAATTATCACTTTTATTCTGTTTGTGATTTGATGTCCTCTATTTATTTGCTCTCTCCATTTGTCCTCACCTCTCCAGAACTCGTTACATTCACACTGAACTGGGCATCAGAGAGCGACTGCTGGTGGGTGTACTGACCTCCCGTGCCACCCTCAACACGCTGGCCGTGGCGGTGAACCGCACAGTTGCCCACCACTTCCACCGCACCTTCTTCTTCACAGGCCTGCGCAGCCCTAAGGTGCCTCACGGCATGACTGTGGTTGCCCACGGTGATGACCGTCCAGTGTGGCTGATGTACGAGACAGTGCGTCACCTCCATCAGCATTACGGCTCGGACTATGACTGGTTCCTCTTAGCCCAGGATGACACCTACATGCAAGCAGATCGTCTGTCGGAGCTGGTGGGCCACCTCAGTGCGGGTCAGGACCTGTATATGGGCCGAGCGGAGGAGTTTATTGGTGGAGAGGAGAAGGCACGATACTGCCACGGGGGGTACGGCTACCTGCTGTCTCGCAGTCTGTTGGCCCGTCTGCAGCCCCACCTTGACACCTGCCGTAATGACATCCTCAGTGTGAGACCTGATGAGTGGCTGGGCCGCTGCATTATTGACTACCTGGGTCTCAGTTGTGTGGAGGTGCACCAGGTAAAAAACACAGACGTAGGCATGGACACCAATAGAAATGTGCATAGAAATAAAAAAAGAAAAATGCATTTGCACAGTTTTATTGATGGAATAACATTTAATTTCATTGTCATTGTTTTTGTGTCTTATAGGAAATGACCTATCGTTACTTTGAGTTGGGGAAAAACGCAGATCCAGAGCGTGAAGACAGCGTACAGTTTAAAAATGCCTTCACAGTCCATCCTATATCAGAACCTAATCTCATGTACCGCCTACACAAACGCTTCAGCCAGATTGAGCTGGAATGGACTTACCTACAGATACAACAGCTGCAGGTTTGTAATACTTAAAGGATCAGCGTGTAAGATTTAGCGGCATCTAGTGGTGATGATTGCCAATTACAACCTGCTGAAACGTCTCCCGTGTGCCAAGCATGGACTCCTAGTTCGGAATCATTCAATGTTTAATGGTCAGGAGGTTTTTACTGGGAGATGAATTATCTGCAGAGGTCTCTTCCTCATCAAAACAAATGAACCAGGTGATTAAAATCAGTAAAAAACACAGAATAAAGCAGTTTCACATTAAAAAGGCTGCTGGCCCAGCACCTGCTAATGTGTGCTCATATTTTTTTCCTGGTTACTAGAGAGCCAGACTTTCAGGAGGTTTTTACTGGGAATTATCTGCAGAGGTATCTTCCTCTCCAAAACAAATAGACATGGGGAATTAAATTAAATTCTTATTTTCAGGTAATTACACTAAAACAACATACTTACTATACTGTATTCCATTTCTGCTAATATATTCCACTAAATTCTACACACTGGAACGTTAACACTGCTATCTCCCAGCTAGAGACAAGTTTTTATGTGCCAGGACAGTATCAGGCTCCTTGGATGATGAGCTCCGTATGTTTGTTCTCCTCTCCACCACACCCCTTTTTTTGAACCAAGGCACAAATTCCTGACTAATACAATATTTAAACATGTCAAAAAGCCAAGACAAGGGATTGGGTGTTTTACTGGGGCATGCATTCCAGTGTCATCATCCTGTGAATATGATCTGTCTAAGAAGCCGTATTGTCTAATTAAAGTTGCTGCTAATGATAGTTCATTAACCCTGTGTTGACTTAACGTTAAATATATCTTGCACCGCAGAGAAATCAAACATATCATGAAGGCAAATGTTGACACAGTACACAGTGCGTTCCTTTTTGACAGATTTGTGTGTGTACTCATTAGGTGCAGATCAACAACCTGAGTGACCTGACACCAGAAGGGAAGGCCGGAGTCACTTGGCCCATCGGAATCAACCCTCCCTTCAAACCAAGAACCCGTTTTGAGGTTATAAACTGGGAGTACTTTACGGAGGAGCATATTTACTCCTGCATCGACAGCTCCCCAAAGTGCGAGATGAAAGGGGCCGACCGTGCGGATGTAAACGCAGTTCTGGAAATTGCAGTGGAGCGCCTGAATGAACGCTACCAGCCCCAGCTACGCTTCCGGAAGCGGCGTCTACTCAACGGTTACCGACGCTTTGACCCCACGCGTGGTATGGAGTATGTGCTGGACCTTGCACTGGAGGCCTACACCCAGAAAGGTCACAGCCAAGTGATTGCCAAACGGGTTAACTTGTTGCGACCTCTAAGTGCAGTTGAGATTATCCCCATGCCGTATGTGACAGAGGCAACGCGGGTGCAGGTCATCCTACCTGTCACTGCCCAGGATCAGGACTTTGTTGGTAACTTCCTCGACATGTATGTGATGAACACTCTGGACACCCACGACAATGTCCTCCTCACGTTCCTGTTCATCTATGATCCCTTCGACGCACAGCGAGTCAGCCAGACTGATGTGTTTGCTGGCATTAAAGCCATGATCGGGGAGGTGGAGAAGCGCTACGGAGACGTGAAGATCCCCTGGATCAGCGTGAAGACGGAGGTGCCCTCACAGGTTAAGCTGATGGACATTATCTCTAAGAAGCACCCAGTGGACACGCTGTTTTTCCTGGCCAGTGTGTGGACGGAGGTCAACGCTGACTTCCTGAACCGCTGCAGAATGAACGCCATCAGCAACTGGCAGGTGTTCTTCCCCATCCACTTCCAAGAGTACAGTCCCGCCGTCATGTACCGCGACCAGCAGCCTTCTGCCGCCTCCTCCTCTTTTGCCTCAGAGTCGCTGCGAGACGGCCACTTTGACCGCCACGTTTTCGACGAGGCTTGCTTTTACAACGCGGACTACATGACCGCACGGACCAAGATGGCTGCTGATATCTTGGACAACGAGGAGCTGCTGGAGAGTATGGACGTTTATGACATATTTGTCCGTTACTCAGGCCTGCACGTGTTCAGAGCCGTAGAGCCAGCGCTAATCCAGAAATACGTGCGGCGAGTGTGCAACCCTCGGTTCAGTGAGGATATCTACCACCGCTGTATCCTCAGCAACCTGGAGGGTCTGGGGTCACGCTCACATCTAGCCATGGCTCTTTTTGAACAAGAGCAGGCCAACAGCACCTAAAGGCGTGTTCGTGCCTCAAACATACTGCCTGGACACAGAATAATGTGAATTATGGTACTTTTGTGATCCACACACTGAAATGCGCACCCTTGTATTTGGCAGAAAGAGGTCAGGATCAGCTAAAGAACAGTGTCGCCTGCTCATGGACACTTTGACAGAGCGAAAATGTGCTGATGCATACGTTCCTCCAGCTGAAAATCTCTCTGCTCAGTACATATGAGTACCTCTGGCTTATGACTTTGTCTTGTCTAGACAATTTATGAGTCATGGAGGTTTATGGACATGGACCGCAGTTACCATTGATGTATTCTTACAGAAGCCGAGCAACAATATTTATACTCCTCTTTTTTAAAAAAAGGAGGCTGTGTCTTGAAGTAATAAATGAAAAAAGGCCTTTATTGTCGATGATTAACTGAGAAAAAACTTGAGCCATAAGTCTTCCTTAGTGAAGATGTTTAAAAATGATACTGGAAACAAGCTGAAGCTGTCGGCTGCCTTTTCTTTTTTAAGAGGTATTAAAGAGTGATAATTCCGTTCAGAGTTGTTTCTTTATTCATACTGCTCACAGTGTGTAAAAGGCTTGTTTCAGTCTCATTAGACGGAGAGACAACTGTTTATAGGGATCTGTATATGCAGCATGCTTGAGCAGTCCCTCCTGGAGGTATCTGTTATGTGCTTGGCAGAGCTGAAGAAAAGGCATTATGGCAGAAGAATCTTGCGGTCAGTTGTGATGGCGTGCTCATATTCACAGTAATATAATGTAGTCTTCCCGGTTTGCCTAAAAGCTTTACTGCAGCGCCTGGAGGCAGTGAACAGTTTGTTCCAGCAGCCTGCCCCGCCTCGTCTCCCCACATTAAGTCAGTAAATCTCCAACCCGGCCCGGGCCTCCCTGGGTTTTGGCGAGTATTCTGTACACACGTCTTTGGGGAGAGAAGTGAACCCAGTGCCCAGAGGGAGGGTCGTGTCTACCTCGCCAAGGTCCGCCGTGGTGTGGGTGGTTAACCTTCACAGCGAGATGGTTGAACAAGCTGAATGGCTTACTTCACACAGCCTCCTTCTCCTCTCTAAAGGGGCGAGACGATCGCACTGAGGCCCCTTAACCTCCCCCCACCCACAGGACTCCTCCATGTGAGGGTTGTCGGGAGAATAGCGGAGCAGCAGAGTGAAAGAGGCTCTTTCTGAGGTGGGAGCGGGGCTGCAGTCAGCATTACACCACCGCTGCAGCGCGCTGTGGAAAAGGCCTCCACCTGCTTCCTTGTGGTGAGGTCAGTGAACAATAAAATGCCTGTCTGCCACCTTCTGAGGAACGCCTCACTCATGCATTTAACCACCAATGAGCTTGAGCACAGAATCAACACTTTACATGCAGAGTATGAGAGTGTTCTTTTAGTGAAGGCTAAGTTAGCAGGGCTGCACAATTATTTGCATAATAGGTTACTGCATTTTCAGATCCCACTGATATTTGGAATATGGAAAAAAAAACATTTGATGTCACCTATTAAATGGAGTTCTGCTGTGGTGGAAAATAAAGATGTGGATATCAAAGAATTCATCTGAGTAATTCTGCCCTTTACATGTTTGAAAGTAACTGTTTATTGAAGTCACACAACTTTTTAAAGGAATACTTTTGCCCTTTAATAATCATTTGTATATCAGTTACTCACGCTGTGTTACATTTAATTCAGGAAGAAAACTTTTTTTTTGTCTTTTGTCGCACTGAACTAAGAATCCAAAATACGGAGAGAATTCTTGATGAATTGAAGTCATTGGGTCTGTGTTTAACAACAGCAAAACTATATAAAAACATCAGTTTACAAACTCTAAAACATTTACAAGTGTTTTAAATGGTAAGTTTTAAGTGAAAATGCATGTGTTTGGAAGGTACTGAGCACACAACAGGATAAATGAGACTTGGATTATACTGCACAAGTTGTATGAGTTTGTAAACTGATGTTTTGATATAGATTTGCTGTTGTTAAATGTGGACCCCTATGACTTAAATACATAGAGTTTTAGGCATTTTTGGATTCTTAGCTCACTGTGGAGGCATGTCAGAAAAACGGTTTTCTTCACAAATTCAAAGTAACAAGGGGTGAGTAATTGATATACATTTGGTCATTGGGGGTGAAGTATTACTTTCTGGTAAATTTCAAATTTTATCATTTACCTGGAATTACAGGTAGGTTAGTCTTACAATGACCTCAGGTATCTGTTGTTGCGAGCAGGCTGGGGATGTCTTTTGATGGCGGCCATGAAACTGGTGTACCAGTATATGTGCTCATCTGATCACCTCATATTAAGTAATCTCATACAGTGTAGACTTAGCTTGTCTTACACAGAGCAAGGCCTATGTAGTATCTATAGTCCAATGAATATATGAAAGTTGAAAGATAGATTTAACCTACTGCCTATTGAAAAGCTTTACACAATATGGATTTCAACTCAAAGATTATGTGTTTTGCCTTGGTGTACAGTATATAACAAAAAAAACAAACTATATTGAAATGTACAAGAGAAATTAATCTGTGCTTTAAGACCCAACTCGATTTAAAGCTGCTAAGTGCTGAAGGCTGACAAACAAGATCAGGGGACAACAGATAAAGTAAAATGCAAGGATGTCTCCAATCATTTTGTGCTTTCTGTGTTTATCCAGAACTAATTTAATCTATGTATAAATCAACAGAAAGAGAATGTAGCAAATTAATTCATGCACTCTCTAAGATAAAACACACTGACGTGTAACTGCACACGCCTTGGTACCACAGGTAGAACTTGTAATGCACCTTTTAATCCTTTGTGATTACTCACCATCAAATATACATTTAAAGAGACAGTTCACTGCCCTTCTGTGCAGAGTTTGCATGTTCTCTCCTTGTCAGCATGGGTTTTCTCTGCGTGTGTTGATGGTGACTCTAAATTGGCTGTAGGTGTGAATGGTTGTCTGTCTCTCTGTGCCAGCCCTGTGATAGTCTGGCGACCTGTCACCTAAAGTCAGCTGGTATGGCTCCAAAGCTGAGTGCCATCTAGTTTCCTTTTTTTTTTGGAGAGAAGGCAGACATCTCTACAGCCAATATCTCCAACACTCCACATCTCACACCAAAACAATCTAGATTGATAAATAGCACTACAGGTAAGAGGAAAAATATGTATGTTTGATTTAAGGGTGAACTGTCCTTTTAAGATCACTGCAGCAGCAGCAGTACTATTTGTGTCATAGTATGCATACACTAAAACTGACCCAGAGGTTGACCCAGCTAAATTACTGATGAACTTTGCAAAAAGTATTTTATAACCTTTAAATGTGGAAACAAGAGGCTTTAATCTCAATGACGTTTACTGTGTACATGTATTGTTGCTGGTTCTTAAACATCCTACAGAAAGCTGAATCTCTTCATAGTAAAAGCTACAATCTAGAATTGCTAAACCAGATATAAACCAGAATTCATGCCTTATTTTGTTTGCATGGAGCAATGGCAGAAACATCAAACACTGAAAGATCAGCTCTACAGTTTGTAGCTTTAGGAATAATTTAAACTCATTTTCCTTTTAAAAAATATCAAAAAAGCATCCTGGCTTTTATTTCAAGATATTTTTTGACGCATAATATCACCTTGTAAAACATTTAGAAGTTAGGTCACTTTAAGAGGTTCAGTTTGACACAATGATATGTAAATTTTTGCAGCAAAGCACCAAAAAAAAGTGATGACATTGTTAACCTACAGAGGGAAGCTGTGGTCTGAGTAAAGTTCCTATTACATGCACAAGAAAAGTGCCTCCACTTTGATGTGTTGTAGTCATACACATGGATGGATAACTGAATGGGCCCACTAGGCACAGGCCCAGGGGCCACAAGTATCAGGGGCCCCGCAGCCTTCATTTGCAAAGTGTCACTCAAATTATGAACCAGGAAGAGACTCAAAATTAGCACACAGAGAAACAAAAAGACCACAGAGATGCAAATGAACTGCAAAGAGATATAAAATGACCAAATAAACACACCAAACAACCTTAAAGAGACACAAAACCACAAAAAGGTGCACAACAATGAAAGAAAGATGCAAAACAAAAACAAAAAAGAGGCAAAACCACCACCAGTCTGTGTGTCTTGCTCCTGTTCAGGAGAGGTGGTGTGGCCTTTTCCATATCTGTGCCCAGGGGCCTGTTGTCTCGTCATCCGCCATGGTTATAAAGATGGAAAAAAAGACACTTCAGATATCATGGCATTTACAAACTTTGGCAAGCGCTTCTTTATTTACATCCAGGCTGTCTCGCAATGTCACAGCTGTTTTCCCTTTTTTCTTTTTTTCAGTTGAATGTAATCACCAAACGAGTTTGCTCTTTACAGATATACAGTGTTATTATGTATACTATCATCTCCCTGTTGGTGACGCTCTGACAACAGTGTAAACAGAGAGAAAGAGCACTTCCCACTCTTCACAAACACATGCAGGGAGTGAGACAAACATGTCCACAGTATGTCAGGGTGTAGCAACAGGAGACGCAGTAGTCTTGTTAACGTTTCCGTCAGATATTCTGATGCTGTGGGGCTCAGAGCTGTCGTCACCCAGGAGTTGCAGCTTCTCGTTTCCTCCACAAGAGGGTGCAAGTGAATTAGTGACTGTATGACAACAATGTGAATGCCCTGGCCATACAAAGACAAATCACTCCTGGTCAGACGCAGGACTAAGATACTACCATTGACTACTGTTTCTCCTCTAATGAGTGCAGTTAATATAACTTAGTACTAGTAACAAAAACACAGTTCAGAAAAAATCACACCTACAGTTAGTTGCTGGTAGGGCATATCATTTTTGGCAAAAAAGTTTCCAGAAGGCATTTCAACAAAAGTCTTTTGCTCGTCACATAGATTGCTATGCCATCTTTTTATATTTACACACACTATCTCATCAGATGTAGTAATTAATGTCCATGGAGCATGCATAGGTCATCTTGAAATCATCCAATCACTTTTTGTGTATGCTGGGATAATAAAGGTCTCACCCGTGATGACGAGTCCCGACAACAGAACTACAGCACAGTGCAAAGAAACCCAGAAAAAGGTTCCAGCTCAGACTGCTGACACAAAAAAATCCTCCATCTGACATTACAACATATACATACAAGTCAAGTGTCATTAAAAAAAAGTGTAAAAGGAGATCGGTGCAGATTATATCGTGTGGTAACAGCTACTGAGATTCAAAGCGAGGGAGGTCTTTCTTTGTTGCAGCTTCCAGCTCCCACGATAGTAACGGGATGGACCTAAAATAAACCACCCCGACCCAAGATAGTACACAGAGGAACACTAACATTCCTGCCCTACTAATTCAAAACTCATGGAGCTCCCATAATGCACCATGTAACTCACACCCCCCTCCCCAAAACAAACACACACAAATAGTCTGTCGTATACTGTACAGTTGGCCCTCTTCAGGGAAAACATATTTACATTCACATCTCTAGAAAAGAAAAACTTTTTTTTTCTTCTTCATGTAACATAAAAAGTGTAGAAATGGACAAAAACCTCCAGACCTGGGCTCAAGTGCTCGCTGCAATAACAGTTTCAGGCTTTGTTTATAGAGACCTGAGGCCTAATTGGCTACAAAAGGCAAACATCCAGGACTAAGCCCCTTTCAAATTGCTCAGATTTGTCACAACCACCTTACAAGGATATGTTTTTGCAATTTCTGTTAAACCCAGGTGAGGATTTTTTTTGCCCACTTCTATTTCAGTGATCGTGTTTCTCTTCTTCTTGTTGCAACCTTTGGTAACACCTTCAGCACATTGACTGGCAGAATACTACACAAGAAAGAGGCAGTGAGTGAGAAAACAAATCAGTCGACAAGTCCCAACATGTAGAGGCATATTTGTCATTTTGCTATGATTAAAGGGACAGTTCTGATTTTCTGAAGTGGGGTTCTATGAGGCACTCATCCATTGTCAGTGTATTACATACAGTAGATGGCAGTCAGCACGCCCCCAGTTTGGAGAAGCAGGCAGACGTACTGCCACAGAAGCTCAGTGATGTACTGCTGTGGATGGTTTTTTAAGCTAAATGTTCTTTAGCCACTTTAAAAAGGCCTATCTAAAAAATGTCAGCATTAGTCGAAGTGGACGCCATATTGTCAGGCAGCCCTTTCCTTTGGCTCTGCATTTTTTCAACCATTTAACTTGTGTATTTCTACGCATAAGCATGGCCACTGTATTGTCCATCAGGTTTAAAGAGATAACAAATACAAGAAAATTTTAAAAATCTGTAATTGAGAGCTACGATGAACGCTGTTCACTGTGGAGACAAAGGGATACCTTTTTCAAAGAGTGTAGAGAAGAACAACTTCTATGGCTAGGGACTGAACGGGCCGGAAAAGAGAGTAAAAGGGGAAACTTCTGTGGAAACTGGAGGTAAAGAAAGAGCACACGCTAACTATCAAAACGCTAAATGCATGTTTTTGGACCCAGAGAGCTGCTGCTGCCATGAGTGGGACTTGGTTCCAACACGACGTCAGGTTCTTTCTGAACCACCAGATGCCAGCGCTTCACACTTGACTTCT